GGAAACAGTTTTTCCAAAGGATCCTGGTGCCTGGGGACCAGCTTGGGCTGGAGGGGCTGCAGGTCCAAGTGCCTGTTCTGAACCAGGCAGAGCAGATCCCCAAGACTGAGGTCACCAGACTGTTGGTTCTCCTAGGGTGTGGCACTCTCTCTAGCTGATGATGTATTTCTGGAAATATTTTGGTTTTGGTAAATTGGTACTCTCCAGGGAAGAACAGTTTTGGTAGAAAGTTCCCAGCAAGCTCCAGTTTAACCCAGTTGCTACTCCTGGGGCAATGTCTGCCTTGGACATCATGTGGATGTGAAATTCTCAGAGGAAGGAATGGGGACATCCGTCATAGCAAAGAAAGTATTAGGCCCCACTAAGAGCAGGGTAGGGAATAAACCAAACAGATTATAGTGCCATCATATTGCTCAGTAACAGTCTCTTGTGTTGAACACTGCTGACTTTTATTCATGCCATTGATACAGCAGCAATAGAAAAATCCCTGTGCAGACAGGGACAGGGATTCCTTAGAGAAGAGGGTGAAAGGCTGGGACTGTTTAGTTTCAAGCAAAAATGAGCAACTGGAAAATGCCCAATTAAATTTAAAAGTATCAAATACAAAACCAATGCAAAGAAATGCTGTTCTACTCAGTTCCTAATTAATCTCTGGAAACCACTGCCACAAGATATTAATGTGACAGAGAGTTGGGTAGGACACAGAAAAGAACTACTCACTAATTTGTATAAAAAAGAATCAACAATGGTTTCCATAGCTAATAACATTTTAAGGGACCCTTATACTGTAGATCTTAAACCAGTTTGGTATTCAGTTAGCCAGAAATTTCCTTAACAAACAAAGGTGTCAGTTTTGGGGGCTTTCCACCATCTATTGGAATATCTAGGTGTTTTTAGAGATGTGATACTGGAGTGTGTTTAGATGGCTTTCTTTCATGATGTAGTATAAATAATGTAAGACAGTATCTCTGGTAGCCAGGTAAAATCTCTGATATCTCTATTAAGGGCATGGAATGCTTTGCTAGGTGGCACAGTTGGGGAAATCCCAGAACAAATAACTGAATCTAATCAAAATCTTTCCTAATTTCAAAACAGCTGCTGCAGAGTTCAGCTGGCTTTTTATTGATTCTGATAGTAACTACAGGCATCACTTGCCAGGAGGACAGTTTACAATAGGCAGAGCCATTAGAATGATTTACAGTGCTATTGTCTTAAACTGCAATTCTGCTAAAAGCAACAGAGGCAAATTGTGTGCAACTTGCATAGCTTACATTTGCTTTCAGTTCATCAGTTATTATTCTTTCAGGGTATTTGTGGCATTGTAATCATTGAGATTTATTTTCTGTAGGCACGGAGGATGTAGGTAACTTGTTTACCTAATTAGTTTTCAAAATAAAAATACACCAATGTAAGTCATTGCTATTCAGATAGATGCTGAGAAGCATGGTGATATGTGCATTTTAAGAACCCAAACAGAACTGAACTGATGCTTGTAAATGCATCCTATAGTTCATTAGCAATTCTTTATTAGAACAGCAGCCTTTGAGCTGTCTTCAGTGGACAACATGTGTTCTCTGGAAAAACTGCTGGTCACAGGGTGCTTTCTTCCATGTGTCCATTTCTTAAATTACATTAAAAGATGGAAATATAAGAATTATTTTTTAGTATTCCCTTTCCAATTATGCAGTGGTCGGAGTTGCCGAATGCAGGGGGAGACGATAAAAGCAATGCGTAAGATGGTAAAAAATGACTTAGGCACTCAGTAGTTTAAGTCTCAATGGGCATGTCTACACATGCAGTTAATGCGGCTGAATAAACTCTGGCATAGTTTGTGCCTGCGTTTATTACTCCCGGGCACCACATTTGCATGTGCACCTGGGGACCACAGTACATTGAGCCAGGTTGGAGCAGCCTCAGCTGGCAGGAGGCCCTGGGGTTCAGCCTGCCAGCCCAGGGCTTCTTGACCTGGCTCAACCTGCTATAGCAGGGGTCAGCAACCTCTGGCATGTGTGCCAAGAATGGCACGCAAGGCCATTTTGCTCAGCACACCACCGCCAGCCTGGGCTCTAAGCAGCTGCTGCCAGCCACAGAACACAGGCTGCTCCCAGCAGCCGGATGGGAGGTGCGAGCCCTGCTGCAAGCAGACTGGGCTCTGTGGGCCAGCTGCAGCTGGGAGGCTGCAAACAGCTGCTCTGGCATGTCAGCACTCCAGCACCTTCCAAGGTAGTCATTGTGGCTTTTTTGGCACTCTGGCCAAAAAACATTGCCTACCCTCGTGCTATAGAGAGGCTGGCTGGGGCACAAGGGTGCTCCAGTGGAGAGCTAGCCAGCAGGCAGCCCCCACACTGAAGTACCCTCCTGCCCCAGCGAGCCTGTCAGCATCTACAGTACATGTGCATTTCAGCAGAGTAAATAGTTTCACCATAGGATAGTACTTATGTCTGGCAGTACTGTCCTACGGCGAAGTTAATTAGTTTCCTCCATCCTAGTAGCACTGCACATGTAGACAGTGATGTCTTACTGTAGAGTTAATTAGTCGCCTCCGCAGTAATGTCTTGTGTAGATGTGCCTGCTGAAAATCACAAAAGATTTAGGGTGTAACTATAAGGCATGTTTACTCTGGAGGACATGGGAATGGATATATGATTCATAACATTTATTCTGGAGGAAATGCTATTCTGTTTTGCAATGTTGGAATCTATGACAAATTTCCAACTAATTCTGTATGAGGAAGAATAATAAAGAAACAGTCAAAGGTCAGAGGTTATGTGCTACTGCGGGCAAGACTGGCTCCAAATATTTTAATTTTTATAAGCTGTAGAGGCAAGGGTAACATAGCAGGTGGTAGAGGAAAATATTTGTGGATTTAAGCACCAAGTCTTTTCTCTTGGGTTGTTGACAAAAGTAAAGTATGCCCATCTCAGAAAGATTTTAATGTATTATGTATGTCATGATATGCCATGTGTTCTCCCAAAGTCTCACAGTTCTAAAGACTTATGACCTCTAGGTGTGTGTCACCAGCTGCTCATTTGATGGTGGGTAAGAATGACTACTTTGAAATGTCACAAGGACATAGGAGGTTTATTGGCTCAAAAGGAACTTAAATGGAGTGAAGTTCTTGGGCCAGGTAAACCTGCTGTGTACAGCAGCTGCCAGCATTGCAAGGTGAAAATGCATGTATTTTAGGAAACTAGATTAACTTGATTTCATTGCTTTTAGTTACCTTGAAAGGCTGCAGAAGGTTAATCACATTGTACTCCTTTGAAATTAACTGAGACATTTTCATTTATTTATTTTCTAAGCCACTGGATCCATTATAGTTGCACTTTCTGCTGGCAGCACAAAGAAGGCTTACCACATCTTCTTACGCTATAAATTCCTACATCAGCCAGAAATGCAAATTTTGTGCTGTCCTTTGGCTCCTGAGTCAGTCTTCTTCCTGACAAGAGGCTATAAATAGAGAAGTTCATTCTTCAGCCTCATGTACAGGGTGTGGAAGGAGGCACCTACTGATGGAAATAGGGCTTAAAGGAACAGCAGCTGTGCCAGTTGGATACTATCACAGATACCAAAATATCCAGGCCTCATTGTGCTTTCATAGGCTCAGAAATACTATAGAAACTATGAAAAGGTTAATGTTGTTTTCCAGTTATTCCCAGAGCAATCCCTTGAGCAAAGGGAGGACACTTTTCTGTCCCCAAATCATACTGTGGACAGATGCTGAATTTTGGCTGTTGAACATAACATTGTATCAGAATACATTAATTTCTTTTTCTGCATAATAGTCTCTCTAAGTAGTCAATATATACACAAAACCAGACTCCTTTTCAAATGAGAAAAAAACAAACCTGACCCAGTGGAGACAGAGGAGAGGCCTATGTTAATATTGCTCAATGGATTTGTATCTAGGAATATTTTTTTTGGTGAGAGAGAACCAAAAATAAACCCATACACTTGATATAATTTTAGAGTCCTTTCTGCTTCATGACTTCCATTCTTTAAACCAGCACATGGATGAAAATGGCATTCTCAGCACAACATTAAATCATTTGTTCCCAATCTGTTTTCCAAAATTCTTGTTTCAGGGTATAGCAGCATAAATCCGTACATTGACAATTGTATGATTCCAGGCTCTTGAGGAGGTAGTCTAAAGGTATTCCACATTTGCAGCACTTTCCACTGAAGTGATTTACTGCCGCATTGATTGTCTGTTTATCAAAACCTTGGACAATGAACCATTTATACCATTTTTGCACTTGCTGGTTTGGGCTCATTTTTTTAAATTGATGGTAACAAGGATAGATGGAATGATATGTAATGTGGTATTCAGGGCAGAGCACCATAACTTAAACACTTCTGCAAAGCCTAACTGAAGTCTTTCAAGCCTACAAGTCATCTCCTTGTATTAGTAATAGCAGTCATAACATACTGCTTAACTAAATGCTATTTAACACATTTATTTTAATCATCTAATGAGAGAAACAAGAGCAAACGTATTAATAGCAAATGTATCAAATATCTTCTCTGTGTTTGGATCAAGTGTGACGTCTTTAGGCTGGAGTCAGTAGGCAACAGCAGCTCTCAGGCCGGGGTCCAATAAAGCGTTTAACCATACAGCAAGTCTAATTTATTTAGGAGTCTACAGGTAAATGTTGGTTGATATTGCTAGACATTCTGGAGGCCACCTTCTGCATACCCCACTGGTTGTCATAGAAATAGCAAGAGAAACTGTTTATTTCAGTGATAGGATTATTTATAGTGTCTTTCTCTTATTTTATGAGATGCCTGCTTGTATTGCAGTAAAAAAAGCTTGTTTATGGACCTCAGAAACACACACAGAGTTTATCTGTTTATTTAATTTGTCTAAGTTATATGTTGAATTGTATGTGTTGCAAGAAATAAAACACACTTTCCCAGAATCTTGATTTGGTCTTAAAATGGCAAATATCATGCGGATGGGCAAAACTGTCATGTTCATGCTGTCTTTGTATTTGTCACAGGTGGGACACATCACTTGGAGATTTAATTTTTTCCAAACAGTATCTACAGATTTCAACCACTGTACCCTCCACCTCAGTATATGGATTTGGTGAACATGAACATCTGTCTTTTAAACACTATATGAACTTTGTTACCTATGGAATGTTTACCAGGGACCAGTCACCTACGGTAATTCATTTAATTATCTTGTGTAGACTTATTTCACAAAATGGAGTTGCAAAAGCAGTCATATCAAATTAACACCTCTCTTCATGTTCTAATTTCTGTTAATATAAAGTAATGGCAAAGGGAGTAAACTGTGTTTCATACAATGTTATAGAGAATGCAGCAAGTTATAATGAATTAAGCACTTATTTTGCTGAATAGTTTGCATCAGAGCCATTGTTATCGTGCTCAAAGTTCCTAACCAAAAAAAAAAAGTAGTGTGTTTAGGGGTGGTCAGGCAGGGGGCACAATGTGCACATAGCTACCAGGCAGCCTGGAGAGCTCCCGCATGTACATCTGGTGGGGGGGAGGGGGGATTCAGGCCCCCATAGGGAAGGAGGGAGTTGGGCAGGGCTGGGGCTGGGGATGCTGCCCAGCTGGGACAGTGCATGGGGCTTGGGGCTGGAATGCGCAGCTGCAGGGCCCTGGCAGGGAGCGGGATGGGGCTATGGGCAGCTCGTCCAGGGGGCTGGGGGGGGGGCTGGTTCCCCACCACTGTGCATAGTTCTGGAGGAGTTGGGGGGGCATATGACCCCCAGATCTGTGTGAGGGATAGTTGTGGGCTCACTGCTGGGCAGGCAGGGGACACTTCACAAGGATGGCGTGGAGCTCCCAGTGGCAGCAACAAGCTTCCCCACGTGCCCCATTCTGCTCTGCTGCACTGGGTCCTGTCTGCTGGTCTGCAGAGGCCCCAGAGGGAGGGCAGCAGGGCAGGGAACCCAAGCCTGCAGCAGGCAGCTTGCACCTGCCCCCACTCTGCACGCAAATCTGGAAGGCACATACCCCCCTGTGCCCCCAGGAGTGTGTGCGGTGATGGGGAGCCAGCCCCCCCACCCAAGCCCTGCTGTGGACAGCTTGAACCCACCCCTCCCATGGTCTCCACTCTGGCTGTGCTGCCTGTGGGGAGGGGGAACTGGATTCTGCTCTCCGCTCTTCCGCAACAGCTACCACCTCCTGTAGACAGCAGCTGGGGCTCGGGCGCTGCCACAGGGGACAGGGGGCTGTGAACCCAGTCCCTGGTCCTGTAGTCCTAGAAACTGTGGGAGTGGGGCTCCCGTAGCCCTCTGGCAGGGCTGGGGGGGCAGGGGGCTGTGGGTGGGGGGTGAAGGTCATGAGCAGTGCCCAGGTGGCTGTGGGTGGGGAATGAGGGGCACCAGCAGGCTGGGGGGGCAGTGGCTTGGGAGTGAGGGGCCTGGACCTGTGTCCTGATAAGCTAAGGGGGCAGGTGGAACTCTGATTTCTCATGATAAAAAACCCAAAATCAAATACCAAAATGTATTGGTATTTAGAATTCATTTTATTATAGTGATAGAGGCACTGATAAGCTCCAGATTGCTTTAAAATGATAAATGTGTCCATAAAATATTGTGGTCAATTGATACCTATATATATATAATGGCATTTCATTTTAATCATGGACTTTGTTTTTTTATCAGAGGATTTGTGTGTTTTTTATCAGAGAATCCGCAAATTTTTATCAGAGAAAACCAGGATCCCTGGTGATAAATAATCAAATGTTTATGTTTCAGCCATTTGCCAATCTTTATGGAGTTCATCCTTTTTATATATGCATAGAGAATGATTCAAATGCTCATGGTGTCCTCTTCCTTAACTCCAATGCACAAGGTAATGAGGAATATTTTCTATACCTATAGAAAATAGAATAAGTTGGCAGTTACGTTCAGTTGTTTCTTATAAATTTAAATAACTTCTTCACTGATGTTTTGTACAAATATAACAGGGTTCCTACAGTGTTACTCATAGGATTGAGATTTCTAGGAACTTTCAGAGTTTTCAAAGAGACTCATAAGTTATGATCACTGTAAAACAAGGTAATATGTGCATTTGCAACCAAAGTTATATGGTTAACTTTTAAAAATTAGATGCATGTGTGTAGAGAAATAGAAGTCAATAGACATTTCCTCTGGGAGCAGCACAGTTGAAACGCAAGTCAGCTTAAGTTTTGTATTGAGTCTAAGTAGAATAGCTTTGTGTGTTACCATGGTCACCATGCTGTATTAATCTAGTACTATAATCTGTAAAAAGGGGAATATTCACTAAAGCTATGAAATAATTTCTCTGGCAGTCAATGACTTGAAAAAAACAGAAAGGGGGGAAAATATAGAGGAGATGTAGACACAAGTTTGCAGCTCATTTGTGTATGAATGAAATTAAGAAAAATTAAACATTTCGGTATGTTTCTGGTATACTTTTACTGTTGAGTGTAACATAAATCTGGAAATATAGTTTATAATGCCAGCAAGCTATCACTGGACTATTCATATTTTCTTATTTGTTTGTCCATACAGTATGTCAGCTACGTGCATGCCAGGGCTGACTTGCAAGAGTGCCTATTTCTGTTCTGTGATACATTAGTGCTGACAGATAGACAATTTGTACTTGTTCTGTGGTTTCTGAGTGTGTGTGGGTGGGGTATACGTAGTTAATGGGAGCGGCTGGCTGACCTACTTAGCAGCTGTGCACTGAAGGGTTCAGAATACATAGGACTGGCACTGAGGTAATTTGTACTGTGCAACACTTCTGATTTCTTCTTTCAGATGTTACTCTGAGTCCAAATCCAGCCTTAACCTTCCGCACTATTGGAGGTATCCTTGACTTCTTTGTGTTTCTTGGCCCAACTCCAGAAAATGTAATTCAGCAATACACAGAGGTTAGTAGAGAAACAGCTAAGGCTCACAAGACATTGTACAGTAACAAGACCCTATAGCTGTCTGTATTGTCAGTTATTTTGACCACACCTATGTTCACCTGTTATGCTTATATGAAACTATAGCTGATGTGATTAGACCAGATGGAACAAGCACCAAGAAAAGCTCTAGAAATATATTAGAAGCAACCTTTACCTCCCTTGGTCCATTACTTAATACGGAAGGAGAGAAAATAATAGATTATGTAAAGAGGGTTGAAGTATTTAATTCTTTCTTTGCTTCAGTCTTCACAAAAAGGCTGTGATCAGATATTTAATGCAATTCATTTTAACAAGAAAATAGCAGTCAGAGTGAGAAAAGGGGAAGACCAGATTAAAGACTATTTAAATAAAGTTAGAGGTATCCAGCTCAGCATGGCCCAATGTTCACCTAAGATTACTTAAGGAATTATCTAAAGTGATTTCTGAACCCATTAGTGATCATCTTTGAGAACTCATGGAGGACATGTGAGGCCCCAGAAAACTGGGGAAGGGCAAACATAATACTTATGCTTAAGTGACACAAAGGGGCCTTGGGCATTACAGAAAAATCAGACTGATTTTGATACCCATAAAGATATTAGAACTGCTTATTAATTAAGTTGCAAGCACCTATAGAACAATAAGGTGATTAAAACCAGCTGCAATGATTTTATTGAGAAAACATTGTACCTAACCATTCTGATTTCCTGTTTTGACTGGATAATGGACCTAATGAGTAAGGGGATTAGATGTATCTTTACTTTAGAAAGGCTTTAAGTACCATATCACATGTACTCAGAGGCAAATGAGGGAAAAATGGTCTAGATTAAATCACTGTAAAGTGGATGCACAAGTAGTTAAACAGCTGCCCTCAAAGAATAGGCATTAATGGTTTGCTGTCATTTTGGAAGAACCTTTCCAGTTGGGTCTCACCAGGGGTTGTTCTGGGTCCAGTTCTATTCATATTTTCATTAAAGACTCGGTTGATGAATACAGGGTCCACTTATAACATTTGCAGATGACACCAAGTTGTGAAGGTTGCAAGCACTTTGGGTGACAGGATAAGAATTTAATATTATCTTGACAATCTGGAGGAATCTTTAGGCACCAACAAAACAAAATTCAATAAAAGCAGGTGCAAATTATTGCATTTAAAAGGAGAAATAAAATACATAATGTAAAATGAAGAATAAATGGCTAGATAACAGTACTGCAGAAAACAGTCTTGAGTTTATAGTAGAAACAGTAGGAACAGTTCAGTAATGTAATACTATTGTAAAAAGGGCAAATATAATTCTGGGATGTATTAATAGGAGTGTTGCATGCGAGAGAAGGGAAGTGATTATTCTGGTCTGCTTAGTGCTAGCTAGGTCTCAGTGAAAGTGGTGTGCTCAAGTATGGGTCCTGTACCTTAAGGAAGATGTAGACAAATTGGAGAGAGATCAGAGGAAAAAGATAAGAATGGAAGGAGGTTTAAAACATGATATGTGAGGAAAGGATGATAATAGTATGTAAGAACACCTGCTCGTCACCTTGACAGGTGGCCAACTTGGCCACCATCTTGGGACTGGAAGCTCTATCACCTGATCTTTGATGTCACAAACTCCGCCCCTCGTTATATGGTGTGTGACAGCACAAACTCCACACCTGCCCCATGTCACATAACATGTGACATCACAAATCCCACCCCCAGGTCACATGATGTGTGACATCAAAAATCCCACCACCCCTGCCCCCAGTCACATGATGCGTGACATCAGAAACCTGGCCCGGACCCCCGGTCACATGACCTCAGAAACTTCAGCCTGGCCCCCAGTCATATGGGTTTCTTATTAATGGATCACCTGCTTTGCGGATGTGAATCCTTGTGTTTTTACATGTGGTTTTCTCACAGGTAGGTGGCATGTTTTCCGCTGAGGAACCATGCCTTTTTGTTCTGTCCTGTTGGTCTTCCAATCTTCAGGTGTTCTGATATGCAGGCTGAGCATTTCTGTGGTTTTTTATAGGGTTTTTAGAGGTCTTTGACCTGGTTCTTGTACTTCTTCAGGATTGTTGCATGTGATCACTTAGGAAATATATAATGTACATCTCAGCATTGAGAATTCACTTTCCACAAATGTATAGCTAATAGGGCTGTACAAAGCTTCAGTAGCTGATTTGATTTAGAGGAAATTTGGCCTGATTTGCGAACTGAATCTCTGAATCTGAATTGAATTGGGAGACCATTTAAAAGCGCCGAATCAATTCAAAGCATCCAAGTTGATTTGGAAAAGCTTCGGAAAAGATTTGGCTACTTTGGAGTTTTGGCCATAAACTAAACAGGCAGCTGACACAGCTGCCTCCAGCTGGTAAATGTGTTGGGGGAGCGGGGAAGGGAAGGGGCGTGGGGGAGGGAGGCGCATTACTCAGGGAGGGGCTCAGGGGGTGCGGGATGCAGGCATGGCAGTGCTCAGAGCAGGGGCTCTGCCCTGCTTCCAGCACTTCCACGCCTGCATTTCGCACCCTCCATGCCAGCTGGCAAGTGGCGATAGGGCAGAGCCCCCGCTCCCAGCACTGATGTGGGCATGGTAGTGCTGGGAGCAGGGGCTATGCCCTGCTTCCACCCAGAGTAAGCTGCACCTGCATCAGGCCTGCCACCGTGCCAACTGGGCAAGTGGCAGCAGGGCATATCCCCTGCAGCTTCCCCCACTGGGGCAAAGGCAGGCACAGCCCGTGGAGCCATGAAAGAAGCCCCTATGGCTGACCAGCCCCAGCCCCAGCCCGCAGCCTAGTCCTGGCACTTAAAAATAAAAAAAAAGAAGCCCTGCACTTGCCAGCTGCAGCAGCGACAATTGGGGCATCTGGGCACTTGTGGCAAAGTCCCCGCCATGTAGTGCAGGGCAGTGGGGCACCACGGGGATCGTCCCCCCTGCCTGTCACCCACTCAGCAGCTGCCCCGTGGTGCAGCTGCAGCATGGCTCGGCAGGGTGCTGCACACTGTCTGGGAGCTGGAGCCACTGGGGCTTAGCGGTGCCAGGCTCTGGCTGACTGCTGGAGCCACCCCAGCTCCCAGACAGCATGTGGCTCCCTGCCAAGCCACTTGGCACCCATACCATGGGGCAGCTGCTGTGTGGGTGCCAAGTGGGGGCACAATCTCCGCTGTCTCCACTGCCCCACACTGCACAAGGGGGCTCTGCCAAAGAGCCCTCAGAGGCTGCTGCACCTGGTGAGTGCAGGGCTTTTTTTTTTTTTTAAAGTGCCAAGAGGCTGGGGCCAGGTGGGGCAGCCATGGGGGCTTCTCCTGTGGCTCCCCTTGCCCAGGGAGAGGCAAACACAGCCAGAGAAGCCATAGGAGAAGCCCTCATGGCTGCCCTGCTCGGCCCCACTCACCTGGCACTTTAAATTACCAGCCTACTGGCCCCAGTCTACTGGCTGCAGCAGCCTATGAGGGCTCATGGCAGAGCCCCCTGCACAGTGTGGGGCAGCGGGGATTGCCCCCCCTGCTTGGCACCCACATGGAAGCTGTCACATTGCATGGGTTCAGCATGACTCGGCAGGGTGTTGCAGGCTGTCTGAGAGCTGGGGTGGCTCCAGCAGTCACCTGGAGCTCGGCACCACTCAGCCCCAATTCCCAGACAGCACACAGTGCCCTGCTGAGCCACACTGCACCCGCGCCATAGGGCAGCTGCCACGCAGGTGCCAGAAAGGGGGGTGATCCCCATTGCCCCCCTGCTGCATGCGGGGACTGCCATGAGTGCCCAGAGGCCCCAGTCGCTGCTGCTGCAGATGGTGAGTGCAGGGCTTTTTTTTTTTTAAGTGCTGAGACTAGGCTGGGGGAAGGCAGGGGATGGGGCTGGGCAGGGCAGCCATGGGGCTTTCCCCATGGCTCCCCACACCCAGGAAGAGTCAGGCACAGCTGGATGACCCACAGGAGAACCTGCAGCTGCCTGGCTGTGCCTGCCTCTCCCCGGCTGATCCTGTGGAAGAAATCAAACTTCGCGTTGTGGTTGAATCAGAACTGACAGAACCAGCTTTTCTTTATTTAAGGCTATACTGTGATCACAGGGAGAATTCCATACAGCAAGAGGAATCACCCACTTGTCTGTTTCAAAGGATTTTTCAGACTCTCTAAGTTTACAAGTGCATTTATACTTAAGACAGAGAAAGAGATAAAAAAATACGACCTTGGAGAAACAAAACAATAGTAAATTACACAGAAATTTAGGAAGTTTACATAAACAAACTATCTATGCACAGGGCAATATATCAAGATAACCTAAGGATAACCCAAGGCATGCAGGATTCCTTATCTCAAAACACGTAACTGAAATAAGCAATATCAGCACTTCTGTTTTTCTAGTCAAGTAGGCCAATTACTCCTACAATCCGAATCACCAAATCTTCCAAAGCCAATCAGCCAAATTGATTCAGGACAGTGATCCCAATCTCCAAACTAAATCACTGTCCCCCAAATCAGTTGAATCCAAATCCAAATGGAATACTTCCCTATTCACTCAGGCCTAATAGCTCAGCCTCACACACTACAAATTTTAAATTTGCTTAACCCCACCCCCTATTTCTACATTCACAGGGGACTAATTCATGCACACCCAACATCTCCCCAAGAAAAACATAAAGTTTCAAAAGCTCGTTTCAGAAAATGTAGCTTTTTCTACTGGATAAAAACATGAATGTGTTTGTTGTGCTTTTCTGTTTTAGAAGAAGGGGTTCTGTTTGAAAACAAACAGTTACAGACAGTTGTTACAACTTAGTGTGCTTATATTAACACAGTCGTAAATAACCCCTTCATTTTTAAAACTAAGTTTTTACCTTACTGTGGAAAAATTGCGTGTGGCTTTTCCACTAGATAAGTTCTCTGTAATAAAAATCAAATAACACATTAAGGAAGTCCTCTGTATTAAAAATTAAATAATAAAATAGTTAAAAAATAAATAAATAGTAAAATAGTGTGTATATACAATATATATCAAATTGTTTTAAAA